TATCATGCAATATTTAGTCGTTTCTTCTGTCTGGCTTATTTCACTTAATATAATGTCCTCCAGGTTCATCCATCTTGTCACAAATGGCAGGATTTCCTCCTTTTTTAAGGCTGAATAATACTCCTGTGTGTGTGTGTGTGTGTGTGTGTGTGTGTGTGTGTGTGTCTGATTTTCATTATCCATTCATCTGACGATGGACATTTAGATTGTTTTCATATCTTGGCTACTGTGAATGATGCTTCAATGAACATGGGTGTGCAGCTAGATAGTGATTTCATTTCCTTTAGATATATACCCAGAAATGGGATTGCTGGATCATCTGGTAGTTCTGTTTTTGGGACTGGGTCATTTAGATGAGAGCATTGAACTTGTAAGTTCATGTAACTTTCAGAGCCAAGGCCACCATTTTGGGTCAGTAATCAGATTGAGCTGATCTCAAAAGGGAAGCAGGTGAATACAGCTAATGAAGAGAGAGAATAGGAGACGATAGGTCATGCAGCCTCAGAGAGAAAGAGACGGAGTCAGTGGGTGCCTTGGCTCTAACCACTTTCTGGTTCCATCTTAGATCTAACTGCCACTTCCTGTTCTCGAGTTCCCTGCAGTTCTTCTGAGTCTTTATACTAAATCTACCTCCATCTCAGTGGCTTTCTTTTTTTCCCTTAGACAATGCTGTAATGTGGCCCATTGTGTTCTCCCCTTCCTCATGTTCTTGGCCTAATAAAACCACATACTTCCCACAACAGAAGCATACACATATGCAGTAGGGACACTCATTTAACTCACTACAGCCCGAGTATGCCAAGAAAAAGTATGTCTCATTGTTTTCTAGAGTTTTCACCTGCATATAAGTTATTTATTACTACATAACAAAATTTCCCCAAACACAAGAACTTAATAATAAACATTATTTCATAGTTTCCGTGGGTCAGGAATTTGGGAGCAGCTTAGCTGGGCATTTCTGGCCTGGTTCTCACAAAGTTGCAGTCAAGATGTTGTCTGGACTGCAGTCACTTGACTAGGGATGAAGGATCTGCTGCCAGGGTGGCTCACTCACCTGATTGATGGTTGGTGCTGTCTGGTGAGAGGCCTCTGTTTTCCATACATGGACCCTTTCAAAAGACAGCTTGAGTGTCCTTATGACATGGTGGCTGGTTTCCCCCAGTATGAGTAATCCAAGAGGGAGGGAGCCAGGCAGAAACTGTCCTAATGATCTAGCCTCAGAAGTTACCAAGAATCTCTTCTGCCACATTCTCTTCATTGGAAACGAGTTATAAGTCTGGCCCACATTCAGGGAAAGTAGTATTAGGTGTCACCATTTGAAG